TTAAAAGCATTTACCATTGATAGGGCTTTCTTTTTTTAATTTCAAAATTCATTTCTTTATTTAATGTATTGTTGTGATCTTTCATAATTCTATCTTTTTTTGATTTTGTAAAGTTGTAAATTACTTATTAATAGTATTTCTATTAAAAATGTAAATTTACTATTTTATAAAGAGTATAATAATATAAAAGGAAAAAAAATTCTACTATATTTGACTTGTGGAAAAAATATTTAAAGATTGTTTTAATAAACATTAAGATTCCTTCTTTTGTAAAAGTAAGCTAATTCTACCAAATTTTCTGATTTAAGACATAATTTATGATTACACAAAAGCAATAATGTTTTTTCTTTATCTTATACCTCCTATGAATTTATATTTATTCATTTTAAATACTGATATATCTATACATATGTATTTTTGTTTTAAGTATGTTAACATTTGTATTTACTGTAGGTTTATGGTTACTTGTGTGTCCTGTTTTGTTTTTATTACATTTCTTTTACATGTGGTAGTGGTGTAGAGGTAGAGTGCTTGCTTCATAAGTTTGATTCCCACCACGTCCCTGGTAGTACCGCGCTCAACTTGTTTCTCTGCATAGCGGCCTTGTTTGTCAAGGTTCGTGCTTCAGAGTAATAGAATTGAGAGAGGGTTATAACCACAAGTAGCCTCCTCATCTATAGTAGCCTTCTCGACCTTGGGCAAGTAAACTTCAAAAAAAAAAAAAAAAAAAAAAAAACATGCACGGTGTCTAAATTATTATTATTATTTTTTCTAAAAACTTTACTATAGTATCTTTGTTTTGTTTTGAACATCTGTTCAATATATATATTTAATTATTTTATCCTTTCTCTTTTCCTAAATTTTTCCTTATTTCACTTGGGCTTGACAGCTCGGTCTAGTCCTTTGATGCATATTTTTGCATTTTTTTAAATTTCTACTATATTTGACTTGTGGAAAAAATATTTAAAGATTGTTTTTACAAACATTAAAATTCATTCTTTTGTAAAAGTAAAGCTAATTCTACCAAATTTTCTAGATTTGTATGGCAAAATGAAAAAAAGGGTTAAAACCATAATTTTTTATGGAAAACATTAGACCAGGCAAACCATTTAAACGTTGTAATAAATCATGCAGTTTATGTTTGAAATATGTAATTTCATCACCCTTGATTTAATTAAACAAACGAAATGAACTTGCATCTATGTTTTTATAAAAGTACAGATAAAGACTTTAGATATAAATAAAGTTTAACTATTTTCTTACATAAGGTACACAAAATAACAATAAAAATATGTTTATTAACATGAATTTTTATTATTTTGGTGATCCTCCTTTATTTTTTATAACTGCGCATAGATGATTTGACATGCTATAAATGCAATTTAAAGCCACTTCTTTTAAATGTGTATTATCGTTCCAATGCCAAATATCTTTTTTAATCAATTGAATCAATTGAATTCTCTGAAGAGAGAAATTTTTTCTTTTTATTAACTCCCATACATTTTCTATGGAGTTAATATCTGGGAAGTTCTTTGTCCAATTCAAACGTGAAATTTTAAGAGACACCAATAATTTTTTAGTTTATTTTGCAGTGTGACATCAGGCTCCATCTTGTATAAATATTTTCTTCTGCTTATTTGGAAACCACTTTTTCAATTGAGGTAAAAGATGGATTTTAATGACTTTTTTGTATTAGTCCTGTTTCAATATTTCATCTGCAATGTACAGTTGACCAAGGCATTTTCCACTAATAACTAACCAAAACATTGCTTAAGGAGAATGTTTAATTGCCTAGATTATACAATCTCTATGGAATTTTTAATTGTAAGCCCTTTTTACATATTGATTCTTTTGAGTCATAATTTATATGGTTTACTAATCACTAAAGCATACCTGTAGAAAACAGAATAAAAACAATTACTAAATATAAACATTGGAATATTAGGGGTAGGGGGAAATTATTTTTAGTTTAATAATGGATTGCTGATAATAATAATTTTATATAAAAACAATTTTTATATAAAACAATTATTGTTTTTAATTTTTTTTTATAATTTTGTTTCTTCTAATGAAAATCATTTTCTACATTATCATAGATAGATCATATATATCAGAGACATGTGGTAATTCTGAAAATATTTTTAAAGACTTTACTTTTTTTTCTGTGCTATCTAGAAAGTGTTTTTGACTTTTTAAAATAAGTTGTTTTGAGATTACAAACATCTTTTTAATATTGTGAGAAACTGATGCAAAAATTTTGTCTTTTGCATCAGCTATTTAATTTTGTTATTCTCGACTCTTTTATTTTTATTCTCAAACTACTTGCAGAATCTTTGTGAGTCTTTAGGAAAATCTTTAACACTGACATAAATAAATTATTTAAGTTTAGTATTCATGTGGCAGAATTGTTTGTAAAGAACATTTCCTTATTGTTTGAATTTTTCCTCTGATTCATCTATTGAATTTAATAACTATCAACTTAAACACTTTAGACTCCTGTTTGTCATGGATCTTATTTTTCTGTCTGCTGGAAAATAGTAAAAACAGGTTATTGTTATGTTTTTGCTTTTTTTTAAATTTAGGATTACACTCTCCCTTCTCTCTCTCTCTCTCTCTCTCTCTCTCTCTCTCTCTCTCTCTCTCTCTCTCTCTCTACATTAACACGAATAACAATTAGTTTGTGCTTTAATTATAAAATATGATTAAATTATTAGTAAAAAAGCATCTTAAAGGCGTGATTGTCTTAAAAGTCAATATTTGGTGGGCTGCCCTTTGTTGGCTATCACATCCCTTATCCTCTCTGGCATGGAATCAACTAATTTTTATCAGTATTCCAGCGTTATTTCTTGAGTCCAAACAGTCATGATTGCTTTCTTAAGGGTGTTTTTGGAACTAGGATTCTTCGTAGCAACTTTCCGCTTCATCATCATCCATAAATTTACTATTGGATTAAGGTCCGGGCTGAAGCCAGGCCAAGACCTAAAACATCGATGTGTTGACCCATTAGCCACTGGCTAACTGCTTTAGTGCGGTGACAGGGAACTCCATCATGCTGGAAAGTGGTGTAGTTGCTACTAGCCATATGCTGAGGTAGCTTTTCTTTAAGGATATTGAGATACACTGCTCTATTAATGGTGGTGTTCTTCGACATAAACCAGATACCGCCCTGGTCTGCTCTGCTAAAGCAGCCCCAAACCATTGTATTTGGAGTCTATTTTACAGTAGGGACTACATATCTGATATTGTAGCGCTGATTGACTGGTCTTCTAACATGCCTAGTGTTAGAGTCAAACTGGGAAAATGTTAATTCATTGGAAAACATGACTCTGCGTTATAAAGTTTGAAAGTATGTTTGAAAACAACTGTAAGGTTTGAAAACAACTGTAATTATTATCTAACAACTATTATCTAACAATTATTATCTAACAACTCTAATTATTATCTAATTGTCTTTACATGATAAAGAATCATGAATCAATAGAAAATTTATCATTGTTCTCATTTTTATGGCCATGACTGTATATATATATATATATATATATATATATATATATATATATATATATATATATATATATATATATATATATATATATATATATATATATATATATATATATATATATATATATATATATATAAATATATATATATATATATATATATATATTTATATATATATATATATATATATATATATATCGAGTTGGTAACTATGTAATTGTGGATTTTTTCATGAAACAAAATAACTTAATTTTGGAATGTATTGCCCATTTTGAGCAATAACCTTTTGCCATCTTTCAGGCAGCATCATAATTCCACGTTCATAAAACTTCTGGTTATTATCAGCAAAAAAACTGAACCAAGTACAATTTGACATCATCATCATTATTGAAATTTTTACCATTTAAGGAGTTTTGCAAAAATCGAAATAAAAAGTGATCAGATGATGCAAGGTCAGGACTGTATGGTGGTTGCGACAAAAGATATATATAAAACATCACTAATGGATAGTGGCTTAAATTATATTGGTTTAATGGAGCACATCTTTACAGATTGCTGGTACAACCATAAAAACTTCTTTTTAATACAAAAGTAATACTATAGAACTTCCGAAATATATCTAGTAAATAAAAAAAAAAGAGATTTTCAAATCCTATTCTTACACAGAAGATTATTGATAGGGCAGAACCATTTAAACCTGGAGGAAAGTTATGTAGCCTTTGTTTAACTGAAAAATATTATATCATTACGTCATCTTTGAAAATATTATATAAATGAAATGAATTAATATCAAAATGTTGCCACAAAAACAAATTTGTTTTCTGTAACTTTAACATCATCTTAGCTAACACAAAATATATTGTATTTTTGTATATAATTTTTGTTGTTGTTATGGTTGTATGTAATGTCTGATGATCACATAAAGCATGAAACTCTGAGTTTAATTTAATTTAATTGTATTTTATTAATATAATATATATTTACTTATTTACGTATTGGGCACTGTCTACTGAAAAATTACTTTTATTATTGCTATATATATATATATATATATATATATATATATATATATATATATATATATATATATATATATATATATATATATATATATATGTATATGTATATGTATATACATATATACATGCATATGCATAGTTATAAAGCTGAAGAGTTTTAAAAAAATGTTTCGTATTGTTATGTTATGTTTCAAAGATTTTTGAAGATCTTAATAAAATATAAATTCAACATTTTGAAAATTCTTTTTATCAAAATGTTACTTTTGTAGTTTTTATTATATAGTTTTATAACTTTATATTACATATTATATTTTGTAGCTTTTTTTAAATATTTTTGTTATAAGATATGTGTATTTGTATTGTTAATATAAGATATGTGTATTTGTACAATTGTTAATTTTGTTTCAAAAATGTTTAACTCAACTGATTTGATAACAATATCTTCAAAAATAACAATATTACAAATAATTTCTTTAGAGCAAACCTGAAAAACTTGTAGTTGCTTATGTTGTTTATCTTGAAGGTCAGTATAGAGCACAACCTGATATGTTTGACATTGCTGAAGTTTCTCAATCGGTTATGCTAATGACAAATAAAGGGTTTCGATCTCCCCTGGATCAATCTAATCCAATATATCTAACACCTCAATATGGAAATGAAATTAATTTAAAAGAAAGTTTTCCTTGTAAATATTATTTATAGTGCTTTATTAATATTAAGATTTTTTTTTAATTTTTTTTACTTTGGTTATGTTATATTTAATACAAAAAGTTAAATTATTTTGTATGAAATAATTAGAGCAGTACTTAGAATAATTATCTAATGTATAATAATAATAATAATAATAATAATAATAATAATAATAATAATAATAATAATAAATAGGGCTGTACCGGATTTAATTTTTCCAAATCCGGCCGGAGCCGGATTTGCCGGATTTTTACTAACAGACCCGGCCGGAATCGGAGCCGGAGCCGGATTTTGAAGCAAAACTACAGGAACCAAAATCCTGTATATCCCTACTTGGTGTTGAAAATAGTCAACAATGTTGACTATTTAGATCACCAAGTGACAGTTCCCGACAGGCATTTCTTTTTAAAAGTTACGATCTAAATGTATTTTAAATGTCTTTTAAACGTCTTTTAAACATTAATGTTTAAAAGACGTTTAAAAGACATTTAAAACACATTCAGAACGTAACTTTTAAAAACAAATGCCCGTCGGGTTGTTTTCTATTAAACATCATTTTTGTTGTTTAAAAGTTTTATAGCAATTTCTATAGAAATTAATAGACATTTTATATAAATTTTATAGAGTTTCTATAGGCCATATGTTTCAAAAATTTAGAGAAATTCTACAGAACTTTTTTTCCCGGGATGTTGTCACTCCGCCACTGTAGTGAATCAGCGTGTTTATATATTTCTGATTTTTCCAGATATTGGCTTAGCTGAGTGTCAATGCCTGTTGGTAATTGTTGTTCATGTGCTGTGCCACAAGCGGGCGTAGACTCAATAATTTCATCTATATATATTGCCATTGTAATGATGATAATGTATAAGAATTATCCAGCCGGGATTGTTTTGCTGGATTTTCTTTATTTTTTTCAATCTAAAAAGGTTTTTCCTCAATGCCTTTGAAACGCTCATCTAATGAGTTGATTAGGATTGACTTCATAGTCACACCTTTACACCTGCATTATTGCAGAATATCGTGTGTCTTCTCTTCAGAATTTTTTGTTGCGTTCTTCTTTGAAATTAGGTTTAGCTAATTAAATTATAAAAAAATGTAAATACAGATACCAAAACAAACATGAAGTTCAAAAATTAAGTATTATGTATACATGTTATCACGGGTAAAAAAGATGTAATAAACATCCAGAAATCCGGCCAAAATTATGCCGGATTTGCTAACATTTTGCCGGAGCCGGATTTGGGCCGGATTTGTAAAAATGGCCGGATTTCGGCCGGAGCAGGAGCCGGAGCCAAAATTCGGTACAGCCCTAATAATAATAATAGATTTATTAATTTGGTATCAAACATGGTCTACTGTCAGGCTGTCTAAACATGTCTTTTTAAAAAATTGCTGGCAGGTTTTATTTTTTTTTTGGAAGCATTTTTTTTCTTTCTGTTCTAAAAAATAATAGTAATCATAAAATAAAGACTTAAAATATGTGTATTAAATATATATCAGTCAGATTTTATTAGAAAAAGTAAATCTCCTTCTTTTATGATGCTAAAAACATTATTAAAAAAGTAACTTATTAAAAAAAAAAGTTATCAATAGCACACCAATATGAGAGTTAAAAAAAAAATTTGATTTACTATTTGAGTTGTTGAAAAAAATAGTAACAACAAAACCACTGCAATTTTTTATTGTTTCAATTGTTTGATCATGTTAAAAATTGGCACTTAAACTTGTTCCTGGTAATGCCTTAAATATAAACCATTTTCCCTTTTCATTTTCAATTATCCATTTTCCATTATAAAATGCAACTAGCATACATTAGTAAAGCATTAGAACAATGTGCGAGTTATGTTGGCACAACAGCGGTTGCATACATAACTACATCTGTAAAATTTCCAAACCTTAAAATAATGTAATTACATCTATAGTTATTAGACATCAATAAATTTTTAGATGTTGTTTGACAAATGTTATTATACCTAAGTGTATTTACAGATGTTGTTGGACAGATGTATGTATAACTCATTACATTTAAAGATATTGTCGGACAGATGTTACCCTGACTCTCACCAACAACAAAAAACCAATGTTGGCATTATAATTTAAGATGACTTTTTGAAATTGAGTTATGTTAATATACTTTTTCTATTTCATATATATATATATGAATATATATATATATATATATATATATATATATATATATATATATATATATATATATATATATATATACATATATATATATATATATATATATATATATATATATATATATATATATATATATATATATATACATATACATATACATATACATATACTACATGGATTGATAAGTTCCCGGAATGGGATGTATAAATCATCGCTATAAAGATAAAATTTATATGTACTGCAAGTTCAGACCTGTATACGATTACTATATAAATTTTAAGTCAGTTTATTATTAGGTCAAGTAATTATTATTTTAAGTCAGTTATTTAAGTCAGTTTATTATCTAGTTTTGTGTTTATAGCAAGTGAAGTAAAATAATCTCGATTTTTTGCTGGTATGGAAAAAACTGAAATTCGGGCAGTGATAAAATATCAATATTTGAAAGGCTTAAAATCTCAAAAAATAATAAATGACTTCAATAAAACTTTGGGTTCCTCTGCTCCATCGAAAACAACTGTTTACGATTGGTATAATGAATTCAAACGTGGTCGTTCAAGCACAAGTGACACAGAACGTTCAGGAAGGCCAAAAGAGGTCACAACTGAAGAAATGATCAAAAAAATTCATATTGTAATAGAAAATTGTAAAATCAAATTTCATGAAATTGCTTACCGTGTAAACATTTCTTATGAATTTTTTTTTAATATTTTACACAAACATTTGGAAAATGAAAAAGCTTGCTGCCAGATGGGCGCCGCGCGTGTTGACTGTTAACCAAAAACACAACTGAGTGACGACTTCTCAACAGTGTTTGGACATGTTTAGTTGCAATCCATCGGAATTCTTGCGTGGTTTTATTATGATGGATGAAACGTGGATCCATTACTACACACCCGAGTCAAGGCAACAATCAGCACAGTGGTTAAAACCTGGGGAAAGTCGACTAAAGCGACCGAAAACGCAGCAATCAGCTGGAAAGGTTATGGCAAGTGTTATTTGGGATGCACGTGGCATAATATTTATTGATTTCTTAGAAAAAGGAAAGACGATCATTGGAGAGTATTATGCCACCTTATTAAATTGTATACGGGATGAGATTCAGAAAAGCCGACGTTTGCGGAAGAAAAAATATTTGTACCATCATGACAATGCGCCATCTCACACGTCATTGAAAGCAATGGCAAAACTTGATGAGTTAGGATGGGAAATTCCCAGCCAGCTTATTCGCCAGATTTAGCACCCAGTGCACTTTTTATTTCCTAATTTGAAAAGATGGCTCCAGGGAAAGAGGTTCGCAACAAATGAAGAAGTCCGAAAAGAAACGAATAGATATTTTGAGGGACTTGAGAAAAATCTTTTTAAGAAGGGAATTGAAATGTTGAAAGATCAATGGAATAAATGTATTGTTCTAAAAGGTGATTATGTAGAAGAATAAAACATATTTTTCCCAATATTTTGTTGTTTTTATTGGAATTCCGGGAACTTATCAATCCATGTAGTATATGTATATATACATATACTTATCTAAATTGTGTGTTGCTTTTAATATCATTATAGTGCATCACCCATGCAATTTTTATTTTATTATAGTGCATCACCCATGCAATTGATTATTAGTTTAATTATCACTATTACTTACAACTATGACTAATAAACATAAATATGTTTACATACATAATTGCTGTTTCCACCGGAGAGTGCTTTTATTTCTAGTACATATCTGAGCTAGCTTTTATAACCAGAAGATAATATAAATCCTATGTATGGATGCTACATCCATCAAAGGTCATTTGTAGTATGGCTGGGTTGGCTAGATATGTTTCGGGATTAGAAGTTTTCATGCTGATTTCTAGTAATATAACGATAACAAACAGATACTATCACATAGATACTGTTCGCTATAGTTATATTACAGATCACATACGTAATTGCTGTTTTCATGGGTAAGTGCTTTTGTTTCTGGTACATATCTGAGCTAACTTATGTATAATTATCCTTGGACATTCGATACTTTTTTTGACAACCATTGGTATATGTGTGTATCTATAAATATGTATGTATATAAGTATCATATTATTTTTTTTGTTAAAAATATTGTGTGATAATAATTAGTGATAGACTAAGGAGCTATGACTGCAATATTACTTTGACATTCTTTACATATATGTGGGTATGCGTGTGTGTCTATATATATGTAAAAGTGTTGGTTTTTGGGTGGTCTTTTTTTACACCTATATGTTACCACCTACCATAAATTTTACCACCTGTTTTTTTTTTCCTGCCTACGCAAATTTTGACTTTTTACGTTGCAATTGTTTCGTATACTGTTTTCGGCGTTATCACTATGTTTCATTTAAAACCTGTTTTTTAATTGGTTAGCAACATTCGATTTAGGTATCTATGGTGACATTTTATGTTATATGATTTTCTTTTTATAATTTCGTATATATTTCTACACTTTATCCTAAAAGTATCAATTTTTGCCACATATTGTATATTTTAATATATTTTTATCTAACAACATTCATCACATCGGTAGTGTAGTTAAGTATTTTGTGGTTATATTGGTTTTCTATAAGAATTATTTTTTTTATTATTTTATATTATCATTTACATTTTAGTTTATTGTTTTTTGTTATTTCTGTTTAAAAATTTTATTTATATTTTATTTTATATATTTATCTTATTATCTTATATATATTTTATTTTATTTTAAATTAGTTATATTATTAGGTATTGTATTCACTACTCTCACTATCCATATTATTTCTTTAAAAATATTAGTGTTTTACAAATTTGGGTGAGGTTAGGGTTTTGGCTATTTTGTAGTGAAGTTCTTTTTTACTGCAGTATGGAGTAGGCGTAAATTGCAGGGTAAAGCATAAATAGTGATGTTTATCTGACGGGGTAAACTAGGTATTGGTGTGGAGCCTCTTCAAAATGCCAGTAATAATAAACTCGATTCTGAGGAGAAGTTCGTTTCCACCACTACATAAATTATGATTACACAAAAGCAATAATATTTTTTCTTTATCTTATGCCTCCTATGAATTTAAATCTATTCATTTTGAATACTGATATATCTATACATATTTATTTTTATTTTAAGTATGTTAAATATTTGTATTTAATGTAGATTTATGGTTACTTATTAATTAAGATTGGTAACAATATTGTGTAACAATATTGTCAGCTACACAATATTGTGTAGTTGACTCATAATACTCTACATGTCAAATCACTTGGTTCTGAAGTGCTGTGTCGCTAGATGCAGAGCTAATCACATTTACCTCAGCATCCAGTGACACAACACTTCAGAACCAATTTTAATTAATCTTAATAAATTAGTTCTAAGTAAATTTTGTGAACATTAAACATAATTGAAGTTCGTCACATTAAATTGAAAGTGATAAAATTTTCTTTTTAATGCTTCTTTTTACAAATCAATATAAAAAAAAAATTACCTACAGTGTTTTTGAAACCTGTATGATTACTTGGCATCTCAGTATTGTAGGCCATAATATTGATATCACATATACTTTCTTTTTTTTTTTTTATTAAAAATTTTTTTTATTTTAAATTTGTAGGTTTCAAAATTTTTATTAACTTTTTTTTGCGAATAACAAAATGTTTTTTTTACAGCTTGCGATTGGACGTTAATTGATGATTGCTATATTTCTGGTTGTTCACAAAAAGAAAAAGATGCCATGCTAAGCTTTATGTTGAAATTGTCTTTAAAAAAAAGTTTTTTTATTCGAAAATCAATTAAAAGTTTACATGTGTCAGATTTGGTGAGAAACATTTTAAATTTTTGTCACTATTTTAAATATGAGTTTTTATTATTATCAACTTACTATATACTTATTTTTGAAACTAGAATAAAAGCATTGCTACAAATGTTGCAAAAAGGTAGTATTTACTACACATATAACTATTTTTTCATCTCAAAATATTTGAATATTTATAACCTTTTATCCTGAAAAATTTATTTATATTATTAGATCATTTATAATATGACTATGAAAAAGGTCCTAATTTCTATGTATTCTTGAATTTTTTATTTATCAATAATTATCATTATTTTCACATTGTTGAACCGCTTTTAAATAAATTATAATTAGCAACAAAATAATTTGAAGTTTCCAAGTATAAGTATATAATTGAAGATCAATTATATTTATTTCAATAAGCTTTGCTATTGTGAAATGTTTGCATACTAATTTTACTTGTTTTAATTAATGATACCTGCTACCTGCTGCCACCTGTTGACACTTGCTGCTACCTGTTGACACCTGTTGCTACCTGTTGACTTTATTATTTAAAACTTAAAATTTTCTAAACTTGTTTAATGAGTTTTTTTCTTGGGACCAGAATAGAAGTAATACACAGCTAACAAAGTTGAATAATTTTATTAGTGTACTCTGCATTTAAAATTTATTTTTCTAGGTTACTCTGCATTTAAAACTGGTATCTTATGTCTGCAAGTACACTAAAAAAGTGCCAAATAATTTTTGTACTTTTAAATTTACATAAGTTTAAAAAATTATTATAAATTATATTAAAGCTGCTGCACCAATTGAACCAAGATTTTTCTGTTTTGACTAAAATATTGTACTTCAATACTTATTTACTATTTTTAATTATTTGTTTTTAGTTAACTAACTTTAAAAAGAAATTATTAATTATGATGCGCTTTGATTGACTAATTAATATTATTTCTCCACCTGTTGTTTTAATAATTTAGTTTTTAGATTATGTAATCTTCTGTTTTTATTGGTCTACCAATTATCAATTTGTGCATAAATACTCAGACTTTTTTCAAATGTGTTAAAAAAATTGGTCTAAAAATTATTGGAGCAATAACTTTCACTAAAAAACAAAAAAAATCTCTTTAAATATATCTTAAGGCTCCAAAACCTCATGGCCTTGGGTCTAGTTGCTATAGGGACCTTAGATTTTGCCTAGTAGTAGCTAGGCCACTGATACTACACGCAGATTAAGATATTTACATAAATAGTTTTAAATTTTTCATGCCCATAAAAAAATACTTTAGTTCTTTAAATTAAGAATTTTAGGGTCTGGGGATATTCTTAAGCAGGTGGGTAACAAGCTTAGTGTTGGAGCTGCTGCTGTTTTTTTATATAAATTGATGTTTTATATAAAAAAAGTACCAGATATAAAAAATTGTTATAAATTGTATGCCAATGATATTATATTTTGATGATTTCAAATAACAAGGGTAACTGTGTATTGCAAGAAAGTTTATTAAACCTTAGTACATGGAGTGAAAAATGGTTATTACACTTTAACAAAGAAAAATGTAAAATTATGCATATATAGGTATGCATAAAGGAAAAAAAAAATCCACATGATTTTGCAAAAAACGCAAACAGAATATTAGGTCAAATAAAGTATTGGTTTAAAAGAGATAGGATGGGGTAATGTTGGTCTAATTAGTAATGTGAGTCTAATCATAATGTGAATATAATGTGAAACATAATGTGAAAATAGAGTAATGTGGGTCTAATCAACATTAATCAGTTTTTCAGAAGAAAGGCTTTAAGTAAAAGCTTTTTTTTTTCTGTATGTGGTAAAAACAGCACTTTAAATTTTAATTATCAGCTTATTACGCAAATTCTTAGGTATATTTTTTATTCAAAATGTCGCATACATTTGAACATAGAATTTCATCGAAAACATTAAACTTCATAAAAAAGGGTAAAAACAACTTCATAAAAAAGGGTATTAAAAATTTTAACACATAAAAAATATTTTATCTGGAAGAAAAATTACCAAATAATTAGGTTCGATTAGTTTTAAGACGAAATGATGAATAGTTTATTTAAAATAAGCAACATTTATGGGTGAAGTAATGTGGGTCTATATGTCAATGTGTATTATGTCATTGAGAATCTAATGCTTATATAACAATAAATACTTTTAAAATGAAAATTAGTAAAAATTAAAAATCTGACTTCGTTTCTGGATTATTATTCTCAAGTTGCTATGGATTTATTTAGATGACCATTAAAGATAAAATGTTTTTAATTGAAATTAGTAGATTACGCCACTTAGCAGTTTTGAAACATTGTACATTAAATTTTTATTATATAAACATTTTTATAGGATGATGAATCTCTAATATATAACACAAAAACTTTTGATAATTTTTAATTGAGCTTTCGCTTTAACTTCTTTAACTTGTTTCATCAATTCGAAATCCTCATTAAGACAACAATAAAATAGAACAAGTACAACAAATAGCAAGAGGAATTAAATATCTGTATGTATCTGTATCTGTAATGAATAGCAGTTTGGATTTACACCATTGGAAAAATGAAGAGCAAGTGGGAATATAATAGAATATTTGAAATAAAATAAGATAATCATAAAGTAAACTGGAGAAACCCACCAACAAACTTATATCCAAAAATAAGAAGTCATATTCAAGTGTTATACCCTTATTTTTTTCCCTCTTTTAAAGCAATACTTTATTTGACCTAATACTCTATAATTATAATTCTCTCCTGTCTTCATGTTTTCCTGACTCATAAAGATTAAAGTTTTTAAGTGTGCTGTCAGTTGTGTTCTGTCAAGTGTTCTGTCAACTTCTTTCTTGTTCTTTACCTCTTTTGTTTACTTTCTGTTACTGACTTAAATAGTTGTAGCTTGTAGCCATGTTGGTTGTGAATTCATTAAACAAATATTTATATTGTGAATTAAGAGAGAAAATTTGGTTCAAATGATCAACTAGCAAAAAGTTTTGGTCAGATTAAAAATATTTTTTTAATCATTCTTTTAATGCTTGTAAATTATTTTGTTTAATGTTTTAAATTATTGTCCTTTTTTTTAAATAATGATTTTATATGCTTAAAGATATGCTAAGCTCCACTAATGAATCTTACAATCATAAATCATAGAATCAGGCTTCAGTATTTAAAATTAATTTAATCTATTAAATTAGTTATTATTATCTTGATGTGTCTTTTTAAAATAGAAACATCAAGATAAGCTCAAACTGAATATTATTTGACTCCTATAACACCCAGCTTTTGTCAACCGCTAATGTGGGGAGTGAAACAAAACAAAAAAATGTATTGATCCATAGAAATTTCATATAGGTTTAAATACTAAAATTTAATTTTTTTTTTTAATAATTTTATTAACTGGATCACTAGAATCAGCAGAATAAAAAAGTTATGGTCTTTGAAAAAATTGATTTTTTGAATAGCTAATTATTTAATTGTATTCAAAAAGTTATTTAAAAAATGAATAAAATCATATTTCATTATGAATTTATTTTCCAAGCTTTAACTTGGTAGTTGGCCTTTTTATTTTATTTTACGGAAATGATCCTTGTATTTCTTTTCCTCTTATTTTTGTTTTGTTTTTTATCTATTTTAATATTTAATTAGTTTGCTTTGATTTCAAAAAGAACTAAAAAAATTTTTTAAAAGTTGAAGTTTAACATATGTTTAAAATTTTTAACTAATTTTGCTTCATAAAAATATACATTAAGAGAATCTTTAAGTGTGACTTGTGTTGGCTTAGAAAGTGTGTGTGTGTGTGTGTGTGTGTGTGTGTGTGTGTGTGTGTGTGTGTGTGTGTGTGTGTGTGTGTGTGTGTGTGTGTGTGTGTGTGTGTGGGTGTAAAATTAAATTTTAGTATTTAAACCTATATGAAATTTCTATGGATCAATACATTTTTTTGTTTTGTTTCACTCCCCACATTAGCGGTTGACAAAAGCTGGGTATTATAGGAGTCAAATAATATTCAGTTTGAGCTTATCTTGATGTTTCTATTTTAAAAAGACACATCAAGATAATAATAACTAATTTAATAGATTAAATTAATTTTAAATACTGAAGCCTTAGAACACACCTGACAGAACACTTAAAAACTTTAATCTTTATGAGTCAGGAAAACATGAAGACAGGAGAGAATTATAGTTATAGAGTATTAGGTCAAATAAAGTATTGCTTTAAAAGAGGGAAAAAAATAAGGGTATAACACTTGAATATGACTTCTTATTTTTGGATATAAGTTTGTTGGTGGGTTTCTCCAGTTTACTTTATGATTATCTTATTTTACTTTTGTTTTATTTACCATTTACTTTTGTTTAAAGGAGCACAAACCTATTCTAAATCTAGTTTTTATTTATTTATTTAGTATATAAGCAATGGCAGTGGCAAAACATTGTGACAAACTAGCAGTAGATTGGATTCTTATTTTACCAAATCTGAAAAAGAAGCAATTGATGAGCAGATAGCAACAATGAATTGCATACTAACTTCCCTTTTAAAATGATTTGTCAATCATTCAGTTTATCAAAATGATCCGTATTTTGTGCCAGGAATTTAACACTTGTAATTAAATTAGCATTGGTAAAAAATTACATATAGTGTTCACAAGAATAGCTTAAGCAACTGTTCAGGTTTGCTTTATTAATAGTCCCTAACCATGAGAATTGATGGTCCATAATTAGCCAGTAGTTTATGCAATAGTAACAAAAATAATACTATTGTCCTCAAATATTTATCAGATACAATCTATACATCCGGCCATACATATACTTTTTTACAGTGTAGTTACAACGATAACACAGAAAATGTCAAAAATGAGACAACAATTACTAATTCATGATAATGTTAATGTTGTTACGTATGATTTCTTGACTAATATTTTTGAACAAAGAGTAATGAACTGATTGTGTGAACAAAGAATTTGTTGATCAGTTATTGAATTGCTTCATCTGTAGGAGTTAAAAAAATTTTCATTTTTTTATAGTAGAGTATAAAAAACTTTTCAAAGTAGAATGAACAGCAAGGAAATCTGCAAGGAATTAAGGAGGAATTAAGTTTCTACTCAAATTGTTTAAAGAATTAATTATTATTTTTAATTTTTTTTTTAATTTTGAATAGCTTTTTTAATTTTGAAACTTTAATTTGAATAGCTCTCTATGACAAGACATGATGGTCTTCTTTTTATATCTGTATTTTTATTCTTAATATTTTAATGATATCTTTGTAATTTTTTTTTTATATGTTAGTATCTTTATCTTAAATATTGTAATAAAAACCACACACAAAAAATAAATGGATTTGTTAGATAGGTTCTTTGAGCATTATATGTCACTCTACTTAGTCAATTATATGTCACTCTGAAACTAACAGTCAATCTGAAATTATAAGTTTTTTTTTACTGAAGTTAACATTCTAAATGTTTCAAATTGACTACATTATGATTTTATTTTACTGTTTCAACTTTCTTAGTCTTGCAGGAGAAGGGGATGTTAATAATAAAAATAAATGCAAAAGAGTATGCAAAACTTTTATGGTAAAAAGTATTAAAGTAAAAGTATTTATAATATCTTTTTTAAAAAATGATAAAAGAACTGACAATCCAATTTTATTAAATATGAAACATGAAGCTATTTAAAATTTTAAGTAAATAAAAAATTATTTTAAGTAATTAGCATAACAATTTTTAATTTTTTTATTTTATATATAACAAAATAATTATTAAATTAAAATCTCTTTTAATTTGATTTTTAATAAAATCTTTTTATCAGATTGGAAGTTGTTGGAATTCAGATTTTCAAACATGGGATAAAACATCAGATGAGACCTACATTCTTCATGATCTTGAATGTCCTGAGTTAAACCAAATAATTGATGCCCAAGTTTTGCATGAAATCCAAAAATTTTTACTCGTTTTAGATCAGCATTGGAATGCAGAGTTTTCAGAGTATGACTTATCAAGAAAATCTTGTCTTGTTGAAAACACTTCTGGACATTTTGTTGCCACAACATATTCTTCATTGCTCCTTAAGGTTTGTCTTTTTAAATAACTTACTAATTTATTTATGTATTATAAATTATAATTTAAATAAGTTTTATTTTGAAGAAAAATTATTTTTAGATGAATCTTGCATCAGGTTACTAAATTATACAAATAAATTTCAATATATATAAAACAGAGTTGTAGATAAATCTTAACTAACTAAAAGGTAGCATGTTGAGCAATATGGTAGTAGTGTAGTGATAGAAAAGTATTTAATTTTAGGAGTGGCTATAAATACATGTAGGTACATGGACTACTATAACTCCATCAACATCGTTAACATGATCATCACAACATTATCACTCACAACATTTTCATTTTGATTGTTAGAAATATGTTCAATTAACTCAATAATTGATTTAGTTATGTCAGTTTTTATTAAACATTCCATGGTCATCAACATTAATGCTATTCAAATTATTTAGGTTATGAAGAAAGTGTAAAACATCTGACATAATACTTCGACTTTCCTTTATTCGTAAAATTGATTTATTCGTAATATTAATTCAGTTTGTTGTTTAATAAAGTGTTTTGTTCTTTTATTATAAATTGTAATGTTATAAGCTGTGTAAATATTACCATCTTTGCAACACAAAATACTTGCTTCTACAGCAAATATTAAAGCAACTTTTAAAGACTGCTATTATGTTTGATAATAAGCCATTATCATTTTTGTAAAATCTAATTTTTTAATCTGTATAATTTATACTTTTTCGTATAGGGTTTCTAACTTTATAAAAAAGCTCAACATTGTTAGTAAAATACTTCAACGGGTTCAAGTGTCAAAAATTAATGAAAGTTCCTATCTCAATTACCCATTTGATATTTTTCTGCAGTATTTCATTTTTCTTCAGAAAAACGCAAACTTATTTCTTGTTCTAAATAAGTTGATTTTTCCTTGTCTCTTAATTATTATGTTTATCATAAAGAACATGGATAATTGCCAATTGAATGTCTTGCACTAAACATAATTGATGATTAGCACAAATTAACTTTCCCACTTTCATCATAACTGATGCTCCATCGGTTATAATTCAAACTAGATACCTCAAACTAAATACCTAAAACTTTTGGTTCTAATGAAATACCAAATGTTTTAAGTTTTTCCTCTGATAGAGCAATACATTTAGTTGCTGGCATTGATCCATGACCTTTAGCAAGACCAAGACTCCAAAACTTGTAAAATGCATGTAATGTATATTTACATTCATATAATTTTTACAAGTCCATTCATCTAATGCGATGCTCAATCATTAACCTTGATTAGCTTGCGCTTCAATAGGAGTTTTGCGAAGAAGTTCTTGAAACAACTTACAAATATTTATTTTTTTGTTGTAACTTTAGGTCTTCTAGAGCAAGACTTACTTTCAATAGTTTTGTGCTGACAAAATCTTTTCATAATGTGACTTATTTACAACCTGGTTTTATTCACAACCTGTTTTAGAAACTTAGTAAATTTCAGAAATCTTTTTGAGAGTTTTTTCAAACAACTTTTAAAATATCTTTACTTTATTTCATTTGTAACTTCCTTAGCTTTTACTATGCTTTTAAAATATCACTTAAATATAACTGAAACATAAAATTTTGCATTTTGTTTTGCGAACCAGTTATACTTCACTTTTTTTGAAATATTTAAAAGTAAGTGAATTATTAAATTTCAAAAATGTTTTGGTCTTTAGTTTTGCTTTTATTTACAAAAACCTGATTTAATGGCAGGAAATAATACTGTTTTAAAATTTTTCACAAAAGCTTTTTCAACAAAAAAAAATTATTTCAAATTACAGTTAAATTTTATAATTTTTGTAGTTTGTATTTTAAAGTGAAATAATATAAAGCACATTTGGTAAAAAATTCAGTTTCTTTGAGAAAGTTTGTGAAAAGTTATGCCTTAAAAACCAAAAAAAAAGTTTCTAAACATTTGCACGCTACTGTGCAATTATTTGTTATCTAATTGCTATATTCATACATTTTTGTTATATTTGTTTAATCATATTTTGAATATTCTACTTTAATTATTTTAGATGAGATTATCAATATGGTTACCAGACAACCTAGAAATACCAAAATTACATCAACCAATAAATCTCTATATTAGTAATGATGAAATACTTTCTTTAATGGGAAAAAAAGTGAATTACTTATCAAATCAAGTGAAGTGCAAAGATCTCATTCTTAGTCTTGGTGTACAAACTGATATAAAGTTTGAATCTTTTGTAAAAGAATTCCAGTCTTGGAGAGAACAATCATTTTTTTCTACAAGCTATGATCATTCAAAAAATATTTACAAATATTTTGAGAAGCAGCAGTTAGGTTATTCTAACATAATTAATGAACTTAAGCAATATCCTTTAGTATTTTTACCACACGATCAAAAAGCTCAAACATTTTCAAATAGCACTTCTGTTTTTGTGGGAAAATTTTGCTTAGTTAATAATTTGTGCTGGGAGGATCCTTCAGGAATACTCAGTAATTTCAAAGATGAAATTGCTATTAGGCGCACTCTTAACAGTTATTATCCTAAGGATTTGCTCAACTTTTTTGTCAACAAGTTAGGAGTTAATAGATATCCTAGCATCCAAGAGTATATCAATCTTGCAAGTTCCATTGCTAGCAAAACGGATTTACCTGATGAAGTTGCACTTAAAAAGCTATTCAATTTGTTTTCTGCTCTTGGTCACGTATTTATTATAAATAGTAAACTTAAAGAGTTGAATGAATGGAGCTTTTCAAAATCAACTGAAGAATGTAAGCAACAATACGAAGATCTTGCATCATTTATTGATCCACAGTTATTGCATGTTCATGGCAAAGATATTATAGAGGAACGTATATTTCCAACGTCTAACAACACTTTCTGTTGTATATCTGATCATCCTCTTCTGGCTGAATATAATAGCGATTCAAAGGTTTTTGACGAAAGTAGACAAGTACCATTAATTTTCTTTGATTTTGTTTCAAATATTATAAATGAGAATAACACAAAACGCATAACAGATTCTTGTCTCTTGAAATTTGTTAAGATCATGATTTTTTTCAAAGCTTGTGGTATTAGACTCCTTTCAGATGTTTTTATGGAGCCTGAAATTACTACAACATTTATTAAAAGAGGTTGCTCAAAGTGGGAAAAGACTCTTCACGACATCTCTCCGATAGTTCAACGTTATTTAAAAGCAAAGATACCTTTAGTTTATAAACAACTTTGCTCGAAGGACTTTCATACGTACTTGCAAAATTCGACCATATTTACTGTAGAAAAACTTGAAGCTGTTTACCGTCTCTCTGACCGATACAGTGTAAATATTTCTCAAGTAAAAATAGCTTTAGTATTAGATGCTGAAGCAAAACATGCAACCGTCTATATTACTTCAGAGTATGCTGAAGAAAAATCAAAGTTCGAAAATATACTTGATGAAATTTTAAGTTTATTTGTAGGTAGTAATGAGAAATATAAGGAAGAGTTGCTTGATTTTGTTCTCACGTATTTAACGGTAAAAAATAAAGACGAATGTCTAAAGCGCAAGAATATACCTGAGATTTCTCCTCCTGAGAAAATATGGCATTACTCTGAGCCTAAATTAACCAAATTTAGTCATCAAATAGTTCCAGTAGTAAAAGAGTTACCAATTGAAAATGCTTCGTTACCTGTCGAAAATAAAGGATTAACATGTTGGCCTCCACGTAATCCTGGTTTAGGTTTTGTTGCAAAGCCAGAATCATTAATAAATGCTGAAAAAGAAGTTCATGAGAAATGGAAGGCTCCTGTGCACCCTGAATGTGCTGAAAATAATAATTTAGTAGAACCTATGGTTTATCAATCACTGGAAAGAAATTCTAATACTCTTTCGGAGAAAACAAAGGCTGAATCAGATAATTTAGTAGTTAATCAAAATTTTAATTTTAAGAACGAAACATTAAATAACTTACAACAAATAAATTCTTTTGGTGCTCAATCATGTTTACCGTTCAACTCTGACAATGTTTGCAATTTACCTTCTAACCCAGAGTCAGTTTGTAGTGTAATCTGTGATGAAAGATTAAATCAATGGAAAAAATGGAATCAAGTAAACCAGATAATGAAACCACATAATGAACAATTGCCTTTAAGAAATAAAAATAACTTTAGTTGTGGCAATTTTGAAAAGTTTGAAAATCCTGTCATAGAAGACCAGTATGAAGACCTGCCTATAATCATTCAAGATACTTTAAAAGATTTTGAAAAATCAAAGTTGGATAAAGAAAAATCTGATAGAAGCGGATATTTTGGCGAGTTTATTGTTTATCGCCATATTGAGGAAACTTATAAAGATGATATTACAAAAGGCAAGGTAAAAATATTCTGGCTTAATGAAAAAGAAGAGACAGGCGATCCTTATGATATTAAAATAGAGTTTACTGACCAGAATGTAGAATCAGAAAGTTCAAATATAAAGTGTATATATATTGAAGTAAAAACGAGCTATTTGGATGGAAAAAAGGAGTTTGAGATCTCAGCTAACCAGCTTCGGTTTGCTTTTGACCAACAAGCTAGCTTTCATCTGTATCGTGTAACAGGTTTAAACGAAAATTTTAGAATAAGACGTTTAGTTAATTTGTCAATGTACATGGATAGTAAGTCTGTTCAACTTTTTATGGTACTATAACGTTTTTAATGTGATTGCAATTTTGAACAGTTATGTACTTTCAAACTATTGCATTTTAGCCAGTTTAAAATATAATTTTTAACAAATATGTTTTATAGCTACGATACTATTTTTTTATTTTTTTGTTATTCTTTACTTATTTACTTTATTTTTTCTTTCTTTTTTTTTTAACTTTTTTAACGCTTAAACTTTTTTAACGCTTAAAAAGTTTTAAATTTAAATCGTCAGTTTGAAACTTTTTTTGTGTGTGTGTTTTTCCCAAGTACATAGAGTTTGTTAGTTCTCAACTGACGATATTTCATTAATTTGCAGTGGAAACTATTTTTTAAATATTTTAAATTTAATTATTCCTTTTCACGAAATAACTAGTTTAAAGAAATGTTGTCAAAGAAATTTGTATATGCATATTATATATTACAGATTTTGATATTTATGTTTACCTTTTTATTCGTTTATTTCATATAGCTGATAAAATTTGATAATTAACATTCAATTTTATCTAACATGCATAGTTTTAGTATTGGATTACCCTCCTCCGGCTGCCATATAGTGACCTGTAATAGAATATCACCGCACCTTAGAATGTCACCGCACCAGTAGAAATAATAAAAACGAGGATGCGTTTTGAAGTAATAGAACTTAGGGTATCGAGTGCGTCCGAATAATACAAAAACGCTCATAAGTATAAAATAAAAACACAACAAATGCATTTATGAAGTTCAGTAATAATATGTTGATATGTACAAACTCCTCAAGACATGATACTATAATTTAATTTTTTATTCTAAAATTAGTAATCTTTTATATATATTACATATTTTCTACTAAATGGTTTGCAATATTTTAAATATCTATATGAGTGGATGTAAAATTCTAAGCACTATTTAGTTTGTTATTTTTTAACAAAATACATGGGTGATGTGATATTCTGAAAATATAATAATATATTACTTAACTTCATTAAGGGTATGTGGTATTCTAGCATTCTAAGCACTACCAAGTATGTTGTTTTTTACCTAAGTACATAGGTGATGTGATATTCTAAACATATAATAGAAGCATGCCATAACTTTCTTAATCTTATTGAGGGGATGTGATATTCTAACGTTCTAAGCACTATCTAGTATGTTTTTTTTAAACAAAATACATGAACGATTTGATACTCTAAACATGTAATAGTATATTTCTTAATTTTGTTAAATCGATGTGATATTCTAACATTCTAAGCACTATCTAGTATGTTGTTGTTTAACAAAGTACATTTTTGATGTGATATTCTAAACATGTAAGAGTATATTTCTTAATTTTATTAAGGGGATGTGATATTCCAACATTCTAAGCATTTTCTAGTATGTTTTTTTTTAACAAAGTGCATGGTTGATGTGATATTCTAAACATATAATAGTATAATTAATAAATGTCATATTAAACTGCTTATTTTGGTTGTGGTATAAAGTCAGTGGCGGATTTAGTAAAGGGCGTGGGGGGGCGAGCTCCCCACGCCCCCTAGAACGGTCTAACGGCGCCCCCTAAAACAATTAAAATATATATATATATATATATGGTTAAATTACTGAAGGCAACCCCGGTCGCCCCTATTTATTGACTTGACCCCCCCGCGACACTAAACCTCAATCCGCCACTGTACAAAGTCATAATTTATGATCTTTCAACTCTTGATTTAAATCAAATAAGTTGTACTTGAGTATATTTATAATAAATGTCTTCTGGAAAAAGAAATAAGCAAAATTTTTCACAAAAAAGGAAGAAGAAGCCTCATGTAAACAAATATTTAAGAATAAATCTTTCAAATACTTCACCAGAAAAAGGTATATCTACTAGATGCTAGATGATCTAGCATAAGTAAAAAGAGGCTAATAATAGATTTCAACCAATGTTAGTATGTCCTTAATGTGACCATATAAAATAACTCTCAGTGATAAAGAACAGATAAAGAAAAAAGGGATTTGCCTATAATTTAGAATTTTTATGCGAGTCATGTGAATGGTATAAATTGTAATTGTAAAAGTTGTTCAATGTGGAAAAAACAAAGAGGATCACCAGCCTAAAACAGATAAAAACAGATCACATATGTCACATTAACCATACAAAGTCATCTGGTGCAATGGATGCAGCAGGTGCATTGGGAATCTTTTCTCGACCAGTTAAAAAATACAAATTGGTTTATCATGAATGCCTAAAGAATGGTGATACTTTATTTTTTAATGAAGTTAAATCTAATCCATATAAAAATTGTAATATTCAACTAATAAAATTGGGGGTGTGCAGAAACAACTTAGTACACACTTGCAAAAAATTGTACAGAAGTATAAAGGAATGGTGAAATCCCTACACGGAAAAGGAAACTTGACTAATAGTACAAATAACTCAATGCAGAATTATTATGGTATTGCAATTAGGAATAAAACTAACAACATTTATGCAATGAAAAAAACTATTAGGAGCAGTTAAGTTGCTCAGCACAAATTTCAGTGAGAATGTGTCCTAGGAATGAATATTCCTGATACAAGTGGCAACTAGACTACAAATATACACTCTAGCAAAATATTCATAATATAATAAAGCCTATTTTTGAAGATTTATCTGATGAAGATTTGCTAAGAAAATGTTAACATGATCAAACACAAAATTCAAATGAAGCATTTCATTCAATTTTATGGACTCGTACTAAAAATATTTTTGTAAGTGGAAGAACATTTGAACTTTATATTAATTCTGCAATAGTTCATTATAATGATGGTGGAGATATAGTAAAATCTGTTTTAAATTACTTCAAAATCAGTGGACCAATGACTACTCCAAAACTGTTTTTAAAAGACCAAAAGCAAATTGTAAACAAGCATCGTTAATCAACTTCAATATGCGAAAAGTGAAGAAAAAAACTTAGATCTTTTCATAAGGTATACTTAAATACTAAAAACACAGATTCATATAACTCTGGTAGCTTTTAAGGAGTGTTTATAGACATAAATTTTGATTCTTAATTTTTGACTTGATTTTTCTTATTTTGAGATTTTTAGTTTTTTTTTTAATTTTAAAACCTCCAGTTTAAATTAAGCAATTAAACTGAAACTTTCTGGATATGTTCTTCATACATGGTTAAAATAAAATATTGGTTCATTAAATATGAATACCTGCAGCACTGAAAGTAGGCCAATATTTAAAAGAATGTTTTTATATATGCCATTACTCTGATTCAGGGCCGTCCCAAAGGGGGGTATAGGGGTGTCATACCCACCAAAAGCTGTCATATAAGCATTTGAGTTGGCACATCGAGCAATTGTAGTTGGCAAATTGATTATATTGAGGATCTTTTTTTTTTTCAAGTATCTTTAGTTGGGAAAAAAATACATACAACACCCCCTCCCCTTCTTATGGAAAACCTCTCCGGGACGGCACTGCTCTGAGTTGCTATATTTATATAAAATAAAAACAAAAAAATTGTTTTATTAAATATGATTACCTGCAGCACTTAAAGTTGGTCAATATTCACAAGATTGTTGGTCAATATTCACATGAATTTTTTTGATGTGAGAATAGCCATAAGTTAGTCAACTTATGGCTATTCTCACTCTAAATTAACATCTACTTTATTTGCCGAACCAAAACTGGTATATATGATAGATGTTGCAACAATTTTTACTTAAATTTACTGATTTTCGCGATGGCTTTTTGAGGGTGCGTTTTCTTGATGAAAAGTAATAATTATTATTTTTTAAACCAGGTCATTTCTCACTTATGTTCAAAAATGTTCCAAAAGGTTACAATAATAATCTGAGTTTATTGTTCAACCAGTTTAAAGGTAATCCGTAAATAAAACTCCATTTGCATTACAATAAAATGAAGCTAACACCTTCTTGGCCGAATTCTGGACCCTTATTCAATACGGAGCCAAAACACAGGGTTCATGCCACTTATATTTTTGTTTTGTTTCAAGATAATGATGGTAGACCCAAGGTTCAGCTATAGTTAAGAAACGACGCACAAAATTCTTTTTATTCTTCCTAAAACGCTAAATGTTGCTGAGAAAGTTGTAACTGAATGTGTTTTCGTTTCATCGTTAGCAAATATCACGAACATTGTGCACACAACTTATTGAAACCCAAAACTTCATTCAAAGTTTTGTTTACACTACCTAATGAGATGTCTAAAGCTTCTTCTAAAATCATATGTTGTTTTTTTGATGCGATTTCTGGTTGTAATGCACTTTTTGTACGTCCTTGACGTGGATCATCTTTACATCTTTGTACTATTCTAATTGAATATGAAGAGTCCTTATACACTTTTAATAAACGTTAATGAAATTGCTTTGGTGCTACGCAATCATAAAATAAAAATTCTTTTACTGCACGATATCATAGTCACAAAAATAGATAGTCTGGAAACACGGGCCGTAAAAATTGATTTTGAACTTTTATGTCAAAGTTGTACTTTCGGCACGCTAAAAGTGCAAAACAAACATTAAAGTGAATCATGGAAAGTGGAGAGTTGCAAGTTCTTTTGAGTTTGATAGAAACAGATCAGTTTGAAAGCGATTCATTTTATCAAGAAATCGAAATAGCATCTTTAGAAGAATGTAAAGAGACTTTAAATTGTAGTGATTGCTCGAAGGTATTCAAAACAACTAGTGGTCTGAAAAGGCATATGAACTTTAAGCACAAAGAACTTGTGCCTACTGACAACCTTGTCAAGGTTGTCGGTAGTGAATCAATTGATTTAAATAAAAATACACAATTATGTATTCAAAGTACACAATTCAGAGATCTATTGAATAACGCAAGACATAAACTATCAACAGATGATTGTTTTTGTAATGAAGATCGAGAATGTTTTAAAAACATGGTTGTCACTGAATCTGAGTATTTACTAGTTGAATCTTTTTTTTTTTAAAGAAATGCATGAATTTAAAGCCAATGCCGAAAAATTTTATTCTTCACTCCACCATAAGTATACAACTGAGTCAGTTGCGATAAAAACAATACCAAAGGAACTATATTTTTTATTGTTAGCAGAATTAACAACATTATGTCTAAATTTTTTTTTTAAAGAATCTAAACTTATTGGTGAAGATTCGAATCTAGAGATAAATCTCTCTGAAAAAGACATAAGATGCTTAGAATATATTGCAGGTTATGTATTTCAAAAACTGTACTCTAAGTTGAGAAATAAAAAAATTAATGATGGTGCAATGTCTGGACAATGGCTTGATATTATACTTTCATCAAAAACTCAAGAGGAACAAAAACTTGTAGATATTAGAGATAGAGGTGGATTGTGGAAAATGAATACACTAGTAATAAATATTTTTAGTGAGTGTGAAAAAAAATTTAGAATACATACTAGCGTAAATTTTAGAAAAATTGACAGTAAAGTATTGGTTTCACAATTATTAAATAACTGTTTTGTCAAGTC